ATCCCTAACACAGGGAAAGCGAATCTATGGCCCTCCAGTTTTTTCTAAACCACAACTCCCATCATCCCTCACAATTGGTCATGATGGTTAGGAATGATTGGTGTGGTAGTCCAACAACTTCTGGAGGGCCACTGGTTCCCAATCTCTGGTAACAAAACCACAATCTCATGAATTGTATCAACAACAACAGCAGTGAAAACATCAATATGGCCATGTTAACCCACCACTATCCACCCAATAGGGACACGGGTGGCGCTGTGGGTTAAACCACAGAGCCTAGGACTTGCCGATCAGAAGGTCTGCAGTTCGAATCCCCGCAACGGGGTGAGCTCCCGTTGCTCAGTCCCTGCTCCTGCCCACCTAGTAGTTAGAAAGCACGTCAAAGTGCAAGTAGATAAATAGGTACCGCTCCAGCAGGAAGGTAAACGACGTTTCCGTGCGCTTCTCTGGTTTGCCAGAAGTGGCTTGGTCATGCTGGCCACATGACCCGGAAGCTGTACGCCGGCTCCCTTGGCCAATAAAGCAAGATGAGCGCCGCAACCCCAGAGTCGGCCACAACTGGACCTAATGGTCAGGGGTCCCTTTACCCTTTAACTTTACCTATCCACCCAATGCCTGGGAAAAGGGGGGGGGGCCTTAACCTGGCACTGAAAATATGTGAAAGTCACTTCCTGGCAGGCCTTCCTAGGGACAGCATTTCATAGCTAGGGGAGCCACAACCAAAAAGGCCCTCTCACCTTGCTTTACATAACACTGCTCTTAACCTATAACTGTGCTTGTAACTTAAAGTTTTCTGTTGTATAAACTGGGTTCATGTTATCAGATCCAAATGATTTAAAATCAGCTGGCATTTGAAAAATACAGCATAAAATTAAAGCCATTGGACAACCCCAGGTGGTAGTTTGTTTTTCTGCATTTTATCTTGTCAGGATTAAGCTATCCTATGGGCATTGAATGTTAAATATTTCCTTTTTAAAATACCTAGACTGCCAGCGAAGGTTACTGGCAATTTAATATAATTTGAGATGTGGTATTTTTTGTTTCCCAAGTTCATTAGGATAATAAATATGGATCTGGATTTAACAAGCCTTCAAGCTTAGTCCTGCCTGAAAGATAAGGTGGTGTTTTGTTAACAGTGAGGGACATTTTTATTTCTCAAATAAGCAGCACTTTTGAGACGTCAAAAAAGTGTAGAATGGGGCAACCAGGGTGAGCAGGGCATTCCTTACGTGTTTGGGTTTTCTTTTGTTTGTTTGTGGGAAAGAGATGAATAAGATGGGGCATAGAGGTGTATAAACCTAAGTGAGGTGAGAAAGTTGAAATAAAGAAAAATTGGCCCCTTTCTCATCAGGCTTGAACTTTGAGTCATCCAAAGAAATTGATGGGCAGAAGAGCCAGAACTGACAGATGAAAGTATTTCATTACGCAAGGCATAGTTAACTTGTGGAATTTGCTGCCATATACAGTATATGTAATTGTCCTGATAGCTTTAAAAGGGAGTTAGACATATTCAGGGAGAAGAAGGGAACTATCAATGCCTATTGATCACAATGGCCATATGAATTCTCCACATTCAGCAGCAATACACTATTGAATACCAGCTGAGGAGAAGTTGTTGTTGTTTGAAATATAACTATTTTAGCCTACAGCAAGAAAACCAACAAAGAATTGTGCATGGTATAACAAATTACAATTATTATTAATGATAATATTAATTACAAATATATAAAAGATACACATAAATAATTATGTAAATTATTACTAAATCCTCTTTAAAAGACCAAGGAAATTCAGAAAATAGTCATAAAAAGATATTTCTCTTTCTAATATTCAAGTTGTAGGTCCTGTTTTTGGCTTGTACAGCCCTGAACGCTGCAACTATGTACGTGTGTTGTTAATGTTGCAACCCAGAAAAGATGTGAACTTCCTGCTTAATGACAAACAACAATATAAGCAAATGAAAATAAGTTGGTCCTTGCGTGACACACGGAGCGAAGGATGGATACAATTAGTCATGTTTCTCGAAAGTAACATCTCGGCAATCGCCCACACTTCCTTGCAAAATTATCCCTCCCCACAACCCCCCTCCAAGAGTGGATGCCAGATGGAACAACAATCCATTCAATGGAAGTTGTGCCAGCCCACAAATGTCTGAAAATCCATGCTGGAAAATCCAGAATGTAGTCTAGAAGTTCTTCAGGAGTATCAGACGAGAGAAATCACATATGTGGCACTGTTAAGCAATAGGCTACCCATTCAAATCTAAAGCCTTAATTTCAATATTTTAGTGGCTTTTTAAAAAACAACAACAACCTGTCCTCCTTTCAAGAAATTCAAGGTGGCATATATAGTTTGGTCCCTTATTCTGACAACAGCCCTGTGAGGTAGGTTAGATTGAGAAATGGGGTTTGCACTTGGAGGAATCCCAGTGAATTGTAACTGATTGGGGATCTGAAACCAGGTCACTCCATCATTGGACCCTTCAAGATATCATCTATATCTATTGGTTTTAAAGGGGGGGCATAAAAAGTATGTAACAAAAACAATGGAGAGGAAACATTTCATCAATTATTACAATCACCAGTCAATAAAATCCAGCAGAATACATTAAGTAACATTAGTTTTTGCTCCCAAGATTATCCCAGAATTATCAACCTTGGTTGAACAAGTGTAGATAGAGATGTAAAATCATTTTCCTGTCTAGTAACATAGAAGATAAAAGTATACCATATGTCTTGAAATTAATCAGATCCAGAAACATTTTGCAATGCTTTAATTTTTCGTGTCAACTTCTCTGTCTACGCTGTATTCTAAATTTTATGATCCCATTTCTGGAAGAGGTTAAGAAAGGGAGATTTCCCATGTCTTGCCATGACAAGTCTTGTAACAACAAGAAGAAATGTTGTAAGTTCTTTATGCAATACATTTTAGGTTGTTCACAAAAAATAAGTAAAAGGTCCATCAAAGTCATTTTGATCTTGCATTCCTGATGATTTGGGCACAGGATGCAATGAGGTGGTCATATGTAATCTCACTTGCAATACTATTTGCACCTGTGAAAGTTTCAGGGTAGACATACAGCTTTGTTTCCAATCAGTGCATATCCTGTCACCTCCTGCTGAAATCTAGTAACTTTTCATACCACAAATGTTGTTGGGTTTGTTTGTTGTCTTGCTTTTGTTGCACTGTATAGCGACAATGTGGTATTACACTGGATAGCGACAATGTGGTATTACATTGAGGAAGCATCGTTGGACAACTAATAAAGCAGTATGAATCCATCACAAATGTCAAGAACATGTTTCATAATACACCTGCAATAAAACAGTTTGGAAGGGCACCTAGTCCAACACAAAAGGGTCCATGTATAGCTGTGGGAAAATGGAGGAGGAAGTTGTGAATCACCAAAACTCACTGAAAGGGATAGAATCCTAGAATCAGTCAATTTCAGTGCTCTCAGTTTATCCCCCACCCCAACCTTAATTAATTAATTACATAAAATTTTTACACCGCTTGATTGTAAAAATACTCAAAGCAGTTTACAAAAAAGATAGAACAAGAAAGTCAAGAAAAATCCATAACCATGCTTTAAAACATACAAAAGTTAAGATACTAAAACAGATTACCTCAACTTTTTAAGCATCTGAGTAGGCTTGTCTGAACAAGATTGCTTTAAAGCAGGCACCGAAAATTTCAGTTCTCTATGTTTCTGCAGCAATTTGCATTCTATTGAAATATTCTCATGAAAATTCACCTTCATTTTAGTGCAGATTTCCACTAATAAACATATTTTTGTATGCGGTTTTGACTCCTCCATTTTTGCAAACAGTTTCTTCTACTGTAATGCATTTCTGCATGGTATTTTCATGAATGTGTTCAATTTAATATATACTTTTAACCCATATATGCATTTTTGTAAATATTCTTTGGTTGGAGAAGTACATTACAAAATTTGGGTAAGTGAGAATTCTGAAGGATGGCTATGTTTAGTTCTCCCAGATTTGTCTTTAATTGTGAACTGACTCAAAATCCTCCCCCATCCCTACTCGTTGCATTCTCCTGTGCAACAAATGTCCCACTAGTGCAAAACATTACACCAGTGGAACAGGCATGCCCCTAAGTCACTTTGCTTAGAGCTACTCTGGATTCAACCCACTAATAGTAACTCAGAAGGGCTGTCTCCATTGCCCCCTGAGCCTTATTCTAGGGCATGGGTAGGCAAACTAAGGCCCAGGGGCTGGATCCAGCCCAATCGTCTTCTAAATCCGGTCCACGGACGGTCCAGGAATCAGCGTTTTTTTTACATGAGTAGAATGTGTTCTTTTATTTAAAATGCATCTCTGGGTTATTTGTGGGGCACAGGAATTCATTCATTTCCCCCCTTCAAAATATAGTCTGCCCCCCCACAAGGTCTGAGGGACAGTGGACTGGTCCCCTGCTGAAAAAGTTTGCTGACCCCTGTTCTAGTGATTGCGTGCAATTTTCAATTTCTGTGTCAGACTTCTTGAGGCTGATGTTTCTCAAATTACTAATTCCTCTAATTGTACATCTGAGTGAAAGACAGTCATTGCTTTCCTGAGAAATTACATTCTTAATACCGTTACTGAAAACATTGCGGTAAACTAACTCATATCCGCTTCCAGTGATGTAGTTTTACACTATAACGTAAATCAGGATGAAGATGGACCGATAAGTGCTTGCCTCTGTCTTGTTTATCTGATGAGAGTTGCTTGTTCCACGCATTTGGGAAAGGAGGGGAAGCTCTTGCAAGACAGGAGGAGGAGGAGTGCTGGGTGTTAAATGTAGCCTTTGCTAGGGCCTTCAGTTTTGGATCTGGGTTTGTTTGCTTGCTTCCTGTAAATCCCTCCCAAAGAGCAGAAGTGACTGAATAAATGTTGATAATATAGCACTGAAACAGTATGCTCTTAAAAATAGTCTTCTGGAAAGACTTTGGTCCTTTCCACACATGAGATTAAAAGTGCCTTTCTGCCTCTCTCTAGGGTGACCACACACATCACTGATGGAAAGAAGGAAAGTCTTCCCCCAGAAGAAGACAAAAGGGGAGGCCAATTTGCCTGGAATTTGCATATGTTGATTTATAGGCCTAGATGGCCATTACTACGATTCAAACAGAAATAGAATACATCTCATCATTGTCGTAAAGATTGTGACCAGGTGCTTGATGTTCGGCTTAGCTTGATGCCCATGTACTACTTCAAGGCATTCCCTTCTTATGGCGCTTTATCTTTCAACTGGACTTGGCCAGACACCCCTCCAAATAGAGGGCTCCTTCATATAAAGGACTGTCCTCTGTCAAGCAGGACTCATGGCCAGCCTACCTGTCTCATGCACCTTCATTTGTGTACATCCTCTGTGGATGTAATGTGGGAGAAGTAGCAGAGGCTTCCAAAATTCTCTACTTCCAAATCTCTCCCTGCATTTTGGAGCTTGGAGCTTCCTGCGTGTGAAGGAATTGGACTGTTTAAAAAGAAATCAAAATCTTGTACTGTATATATCTTAGGTTGGGGATTATAGGGTTAATCTGCTTCTGAGAGACAACCTAGCTGGCAGGTAAAGTCAGGAGGTGTTAAAAAATAATGAAGCGAAGTGTGGAATATGGACAAGTTGGGTTTGCAGAGGGGATTAAGGTAAAAGTGTATTACTTTGATGCTTGGGTTGTTTGTGGATTGTGACATAGCAAAGAACAGTGGCTCAAAGATATAGATAAGGGGCAACTTACAGAGACAAGAGATGGGAGGGTCTCAGAAGGAACTGAAGAGCACAAGCAGGCACTGGAGGCTAGAGGGAAAGAGAGCTGCTAACTGCCATACCATCCTAAGAGCTCTAATTGAAAGAATTTTGCTTAACAGAATTTTAGCCACTAGGAAACAGTTTGGATAAGACTAATTGGATGCATTTATCCTGATTTATTTCCATTACCCCCTCTTTGCTATTTAGGGAATGTTTTGTAACCTTTCCCCTAAGAACAATCTTCTTCTTTAGTAAACTTTTGAACTTGATTCACAAAGCCTTGCGGTCTCTTTTGCCTGTGGTTTTACCCACACTATCTAAAAGTGTTGTCATGAGTCAGGTGGCACATTGAAATGGATGAGGAGGAGGAACAGGAGGGTGACTTGCAGTAGAGGGGTGGACTGAGGCTGGGGAACAGAGGCTGGAGGAGGTGAGTTCTTCCCCCTCTCATGATGTGGCTGCCCTGGCTGGGAAAGCCGGAGTACCATCCTCCCTTCCTGATGTGAGGAGCCCAGCAAGACTCCAGGGAGGGCATCAGCCCACCACTAGGGGTGGAGGAACTGGAGTCAGAAGAGATAGGCATAGCCTGGTTGACCAGGACCTGGCTGCACTCCCATTACAGGCAATAGACACATCTTCCCTGGTGGCGTGAATGTCTGCATGCTCAATAGTCTTGTGAATCCTTGTTCCATCTTTAAAAGCTTGGCAGGTGGGTGTGTCAACCCATTGGGACAACACAGTTGTTGTTGTTGTTTAGTCGTTTAGTCGTGTCCGACTCTTCGTGACCCCATGGACCAGAGCACGCCAGGCACTCCTGTCTTCCACTGCCTTCCGCAGTTTGGTCAGACTCATGTTTGTAGCTTCAAGAACACTGTCCAACCATCTCGTCCTCTGTCATCCCCTTCTTCTTGTGCCCTCAATCTTTCCCAACATCAGGGTCTTTTCCAGAGAGTCTTCTCTTCTCATGAGGTGGCCAAAGTATTGGAGCCTCAGCTTGATGATCTGTCCTTCCAGTGAGCACTCAGGGCTGATTTCCTTAAGAATGGATAGGTTTGATCTTCTTGCAGTCCATGGGACTCTCAAGAGTCTCCTCCAGCACCATAATTCAAAAGCATCAATTCTTCGGCGATCAGCCTTCTTAATGGTCCAGCTCTCACTTCCACACATCACTACTGGGAAAACCATGGCTTTAACTATACAGACCTTTGTTGGCAAGGTGATGTCTCTGCTTTTTAAGACGCTGTCTAGGTTTGCCATCGCCTTTCTCCCAAGGACCAGGAGTCTTTTAATTTCATGACTGCTGTCACCATCTGCAGTGATCATGGAGCCCAAGAAAGTAAAATCTCTTACTGCCTCCATTTCTTCCCCTTCTATTTGCCAAGAGGTGATGGGCCCAGTGGCCATGATTTTCGTTTTTTTAATGTTGAGCTTCAGACCATATTTTGTGCTCTCCTCTTTCACCCTCATTAAAAGGTTCTTTAATTCCTCCTCACTTTCTGCCATCAAGGTTGTGTCATCTGCATATCTGAGGTTGTTGATATTTCTTCCGGCGATCTTAATTCCGGCTTGGGATTCATCCAGCCCAGCCTTTCGCATGATGAATTCTGCATATAAGTTAAATAAGCAGGGAGACAATATACAGCCTTGTCGTACTCCTTTCCCAATTTTGAACCAATCAGTTGTTCCATATCCAGTTCTAACTGTAGCTTCTTGTCCCACATAGAGATTTCTCAGGAGACAGATGAGGTGATCAGGCACTCCCATTTCTTTAAGAACTTGCCATAACTCAGTTACTGCTGTGCAATTCCAAACTCCTTGCCTTCATCACAGGCTCCTTAAAATTGAACCACAGCTTCCAGCCCGGCAAGCCTCACCTTTTGTGCCATTGAGCTTGAGTGTAGTGGCTTCTGGCACTCATTACCTGTTGCTGTGCCGGTTTGTCTTCTCTGCTTCAATAAAGATAACTCAACAAAGAGCCTCTATGGTCATGGCCTGGGTGGGAGGCAGGAGAGCCAGGAGCCAGGGGAGATGAGGCTATTCGGTGGAGGCAGACTGGGAAAAATAAAGATGTCTACCTGCAGGTAGTGGAAAGGCCATGGGAAGGGAAGGTGAAATGCCAGGTGAGGCACTATTTTTGACTTTTCTTGCTTCCTTACATGGGTATCCAGTGTGTAGTTGGGGACCCATGATACCTGTTCTTGTTTCCAAATGTTTCTTGCCACCACTCTGGAATCTGTCAGGTACAGAAATATTTCCAGCAGCTGGGACTCCCATCCGTCACCAGTAAGTTCACCCTGTTGAACAATTGCCCTTCTTCACTCCAATTAATAAGTTCCTGATTGAGGTTTATTTGTGTATTTAAAAGCATTTCTAAACACACACACACACACACACACACACACACAAATAAAACTTCTAAGTGGTTTATGAGCAATAAAAACTAAAAAAATAAAAAAAATCATAAAAACAGTAAAATGGAATCCTAAAAAATAAATTAAAACGGGAGCAGGCAAAAACAGGAATTTGGAGATAATGGGGTCCAATCTTAAAAGTCAGAGAAAGCCTCAGAAAGAGATATGTGTTCCTAAGACATCTGAAGAAACTAACAGATAATGTTTCATGCATGGCAGAAGGATGGGTATTTTGCAGTACAGGGGCAATGGCAGAAAATGTCGGGTTTTGGTTGAACTGTCTGATGATGTTCTGTACAGCACGGTGTCAGAAGTAAAAATTTCCCTGCACAATTAGTCATGGGAGTTCAGAGCATGGCTAAGGTGGAACGCTGGGAACTGACTGATAAAGACAAAGATTTGGATAGATGTCGAGAATGGAACAACACAAAAGATTCCTTCATCTCTAGACAGCTACTTGATGTAGCTCAACAGACCTCAAAGTAACGGAACCCCCACCAACCAATGGGCGTGGGGCAAAAGGATGTATTATTTCAAAATGTTCATGCCCAGCTGGGCACGAGGAATCTGCAGAGTTACATGCTTTGCATGAAATAGGTGTTCCGATTCACAGACGTTTCTTCTAAAAGCAAAGATGGGCAATTTCTGAAGTCTTGCAAATACAATTTTTCACAGTGCCTTCCCTTTTTCAGTCAGCCTCCAACTGATCACAAAGAAGTGGACAGACTTGATACAGTTAGTTATTTATTACACATATACCCCACCTTTTCTTCAAGGAGCTTGAGGCTGTGTACAACAGTGGTCTTAAGCTGGTCAAGACCCACCTTTGACTCACAACCTACAACATTCACATTTTTACTTAATAATGCTAATAATGCACACAATTTCTCCTAAAATGGCAATTCACACAGCTGTAAGCCTTAGCAGTACTACCAAATAAAAATGCATTCTGGTGGAAGTCTAGAAAGCCATAGAAGTAGTAGTAGTAGTAATAATAATAATAATAATAATAATTTATTATTTATACCCCGCCCATCTGGCTGGGTTTCCCCAGCCACTCTGGGCGGCTTCCAAAAAAAATATTAAAATACTATAATACATCAAACATTAAAAGCTTCCCTAAACAGGGCTGCCTTCAGATGTCTTCTAAAAGTCTGGTAGTTGTTGTTCTCTTTGACATCTGGTGGGAGGGCATTCCACAGGAAGGGCACCACTACCGAGAAGGCCCTCTGCCTGGTTCCCTGTAACTTGGCTTCTCGCAGTGAGGGAACCGCCAGAAAGCCCTCGGTGCCGGACCTCAGTGTCCGGGTAGAACAATGGGGGTGGAGACGCTCCTTCAGATATACTGGACCGAGGCCATTTAGGGCTTTAAAGGTCAGCACCAACACTTTGAATTGTGCTCAGAAACGTACTGTGAGCCAATGTAGGTCTTTCAAGACCGGTGTTATATGGTTTTGGCGGCTGCTCCCAGTCACCAGTCTAGCTGCCGCATTCTGGATTAGTTGTAGTTTCTGGGTCACCTTCAAAGGTAGCCCCACGTAGAGCGCATTGCAGTAGTCCAAGCGGGAGATAACCAGAGCATGCACCACTCTGGCAAGGCAGTCCACAGGCAGATAGGGTCTCAGCCTACGTACCAGATGGAGCTGGTAAACAGCTGCCCTGGACACAGATTTGACCTGTGCCTCCATGGACAGTTGTGAGTCCAAAATGACTCCCAGGCTGCGCACCTGGTCCTTCAGGGGCACAGATACCCCATTCAGGACCAGGGAATCCGCCACACCTGCTCGCCTCCTGTCCCCCCAAAAAAGTACTTCTGTCTTGTCAGGATTCAACCTCAATCTGTTAGCCGCCATCCATCCTCCAACCAAGTTGACTTGGAAGTGAACAGAGTGCCCCTGCTCCATACAGAGCTTCCTCACTAGAGGCCTAGATATAGGACGGTGGGGCATGTGGTTGGCCAGAAATGTGTATCAGTGTTTCAGTATTCTGCTGTCAAAGAAGGGCTGCCAAATGTTTCCCTGCCCGCAGAAGGTGCTTAGAAACCCAGATCATCACTCACTGAACATGTGGACAGGGATCTTTGATTGGCAGCCAAAGCTGTGATTGTTGGGACCCAAGAGATTAATAAGCTAAAGCCTACCATGGGTTGCCGTTGGGCACATTTCATCCATAATGTCTCCTGAGCCCTATTGGAATGTATGGGAGACATGCCAAGTCCTATGCATTTCGGGGGTGGGGGGTGGGGTGGTACAGGAGAATTTCTTGGTGAATTATATGCCCTGAGGTGCATGAAGCTGCCAGGAGCAAGCTTGGAAGCGGGGGAGGGGGGGAGACACTAACCCTCAACAAGCCCCTGCTATTCTTTGAAAATGAGAAAAGTTGGTGGAAAAATTGCTGGGAGCTGCTAAATTAAAACCCTGTTTCAGGCAGCTGGTCAAAAGGGAAACTCCAATAAATTTTCCACTCAAAATGAGGCATCATTTGGGAATCTCAGTCCTTCCAGCAGGGAATCTTTTAATTTGGCTGCTTGTCTCCGTCAGTGAACAACCGCAGAAATCTTACACCATGGCGAGAGCGGTGGGTGGCAGATTGCTCCGTCACCGCAAATATCCTTCCATGCTTAAAGGCTGCAAATTGAAAGCATTTCTCTGTGTTGATGGATCTAGTCCTCAATCTGTTTCAACAAAAGTTAGATATTGTGTGTGTGTGTGTGCGCGCTGTTTTGCCTGCCCGATAAATTCCTCTTGTCAAAAATATTGATTTCCCCTTTATTATTTTTCCCCTAGTGGACTTTATATCAAATGCGGTTCTAATGAATCAAGGGTTGGTGGGGCAGAGGCAAAATTTCAAAGGATGGT